GTTAAATCATATTTTTTGTATTCAATTGAATTGTGCAGTATCAATGAAACCTTAGCCTCTTCTTTTTATTATTTCTTTGAATTGTTTAACAAGTTGAACATTCAAAGAATTAGGATAACTCCAAAATTGATTCGATTTAATTAAATTTTCTTCAATATTTAAAAAGTAATGGCACCAAAGCTGCCACCACTATTAAAAATCTTATCTTTCACTAACTATCTGTTTGGGAGTTTGATGGTAGTGGTTACGAGGGTAAACCACCTTAGCGGTTTTGAGAGGTTTTTAGTAATAGATTTTAAAACATCCAACCTGTGTTTTGGAGTTTATTTTCCAACAGTTGTGACAGTTTTTTAAAATGATAAATTTACATATATGTTCATAAAAATACCACAACTTCAACAAGTACTTAGGAGTTTTTTTTTTTTAATTATCAATACTTAGTATCAAAGTTTCTTCTAAATTTAATTTATTTGTAAGTTCTTTCATTGTATATTATTTAATTTATTTGTATGTTCTCATTAAAATATATAATTTAGTTGATGATATTCGTTATGCTGGCACTATTAGCATAATTGGTAATTTGACTTCCACTCAACAACTAGATTTGTTGAAAATATATGCAAAAGAAGCCAAATTGAGCTTCCGACATTACCAATGAGTTCGGATTTTCTATTGAATAACCCAATTCATATCCAAGAACAGCAAACTTTGAAAGAGAATTGTTCAAAAAAATAAATAGTTTGAATATAAGCAACCAAAATTGAAGCAAAAATTTCAAGAATTATCACATGTTTAAGGAGATATAGGTGCATTTTTAACTGCCTGAAGCAGAGAGATTATTTCTACCAAAACATACTTTGCCCAGCATCAGTAACAACGTGGTTTCTCATCTTCACTAGAATAGTGTAGATTTTTTCATAAGAAATTCATAGGATGCAAAAACTGCACTCATTATTAGCATTGTGTAAACCTCGTCCCATGCTTGCCTGTTTTGAGGGATAAAAATAAACCGTTTGGGTAGGTGTAAGTAATTGGAGATGATGGAACCATTTCAACACAACCATGGAGGCAATAGTACCATTAACTACAATCTCTGCAATAAATCTGCAAGTGAACTGTTGAAAGCACAAAAACTCAAATGTGATTAATTTTACCACTAATTGAAAACCTAATTAAAAAGAAGAACTTATTGCAAATCTAGGGCAAATCAATTAAGAAGAACAAAGGATCCTTCCCTCATTTATGCATGGCATGATAAACCCAAACAAAAAATGAGAGAGAAAGAGATAAACAAACCTTGTTGAGAGAATTGAAGAAGCTAGAGAAGGAAGAATCAAACGAAGAAAGGTCGGTCTTTTCCTTCGGCCCTCTATCCTATGACTTTTTTTTTTAGCAGCAAAGGGATTATTGTATATCATGGAATAATAGTGGGAAGGGGTTTTTTTGAGATAAAATTTTTAAATCAACAAAAATATCCAGATTTTAGGTATTTTATAAACCCTTCAAAAATACACTATATTAATTTTGAGGAGTTTTTAAACTAGTTAAAATCAGTCAATAAAAAATATGATAAATAATAGTTTTAAAAAACCTAAAAAACCAGTTTAATTAAAACCCTCCTATCCGAGTGAAAAAAATGGGTGTCTATAGAAAAGCCCGTACTTTTCATGCCGAGTGATTGGAAAATCAGAAAATACTACAGAGGTTCTCCTGTTGTCGTTTCGCTCATACTAAAACGACATAACCGGATAACCCTACTCTTTCTCCACGCTTCATATTTTCAGTAAAATCCCAAAACGCACCCTAAAAAAAAATGTGGCGCACCATCCGAGTGCAGGTGCAGCCCATCCGTACATTTCTTAGCCAAATTCCGCAACCACCACCCCACCGCTACTACCACCACCATCGGCGGTGGCTACTCACTCTATCTCCTCTTAAAATCCTAACTCTCCGAACAACTTATTCGTATTCTTTCTCTTTTTCTTCACATTTCAATTTCACCTCGGAGTTCAGTTCGCTGGTTGTTAGATGCATATCTTCGGCTTCCTCGGCCCAGCCTCACCCGGTGGTTAACTGGAACGACGCAGTTCCGTGCTCTGAAGTTGGAGATGGCGGGAACAATAGTAGCGTGGAGGACGACCCTAAGACTTCAATTCCTGTTAAGGCCTATTTTTTCTCCACTAGGTTTGCCTGCAATTTCCTCAAATTAGTTAATTTTTGGAAATTAAACTTTATCCCAAGCTCATGAATAATATGGAATTGCAAAATGTGTCTAATTGTTGTTGTTATGTTTTGGTGTAGTGTGGATTTGAGGAGCTTAGTGGAACAGAACAAACGGAATTTTATACCACCAACATCGCGTATGACTAATTATGTTGTTTTAAGATTCGGCAATTTTTCGGATTTCAACGTAAGTTAATGTATTTTGAGTAGGGAATATAATGCTTTCGTTTCTGTTTGATTATGCTATGTTGATTTATAAGTATTGATGTTAAGTTGTTGGGAACTTATATGTTTGAATGCATTAGATGCTTACCAGGCATGCACTTTTTAATATTAAATTACTACTGTTGTTAACTGTTATTGTAGAGTCGGACCCTTTTTAAAATATTGAAAATTTTAGTTCTGTATAAATCTGAGATTTAGTGAGCTACAAAATTTGAACTGAAATAATCCCCTATGGTCGTTTTCAAGATTTGTATTCTATTAAGTTTACCTATATACTTCAAATTGAGTTTAACTGTTGGCTGCATTTGTTGGTTAAGACCAACGATGCGTGTAGAGGGGATACTTTTGCTTGTTTATTAACTCTTTATCCATGGTTGTTACTTATCTCAATGTTGGTGGATGAACACTTTTTGAAATCTTCAAATGGGGTTAAAGTGAAAAATATCATACAATCTTGTAGGGAGATGTAGAGTGATGGACATAATGCCCAGAATGAAGAAGATAACAACCCCCAACTCACATCCGTATATAAGAAGAATTATTATATTTATTTTGAATTAGGGACTTAATTTAGAGTGAAAAAATCTCTTTTTTCTGTCAACTAAAGGAATCAACATTTACTTATTCAAGTTATTTCTAAAAGAAAATTCTAGGTACCATATTCCAAGCATTGGAATTTAGTTCCTTTAAATATTTTTATTCTGTAATTTACCCAACAATTCTTTGTTTTGCTAAATGATGGATCTTGTTGTATTTATTGTTTAAAAAAAAAAAAAAATACAGTTAAGTTTCAACTAGTGCAATTTATGGTTCCTCTGGATATCCTAGTGTTGTATTTAGGCTAGCACTTTCTGCCTTTTTTGGCTATAAATGGTACATCTAGTTGTATTTCTTACTAAGAGAGTGTAAAATTCCTTGTTCCAGGGTATGGGTACTTGCATAAGTGGAAGCAACTGCTGCTTCATGGTAGTTTTCCAGTATGGATCCATTGTCTTGTTTAATGTTTCTGAACATGAGGTGGATAGGTATCTAAAAATTGTGGAAAGATATGCATCAGGTTTACTTTCGGAAATGAGAAAGGACGGTAAGACCTCATAAACTCATTTATATTAGTTCTCAAATTACCATTCCACATCTCTTTTATAAGCTCACACTCACACACATAGTGTTATGATGGTAATACAGATTAGGATGAGATGAAAGTTCTTCATATCTTGAATATATTAAATTTGAATAGAAAAAGTTGTTTTATCTAGTTGATTTGAAGAGATAAACATCTATAGAACCCCTCAATCTAGATTACGTACGTGAAAGTCATAGATGTATTGTGTATCTGTGAAGCCTAGTTATAATGATAATATACAGCTTGTTGTAAAATTAAGAATAAGAGAGGAAAGGTCATTTTATGAATTGTTGGAACTGGAGTCTTTTGTTTATCTTAATTATTCATTAAACTGCAGAGTATGAGGTGATAGAGAAGCCAACTTTGAGCACATGGATGCTAGGAGGATTGGATCATATTATGTTACAGTACTTGAACATTGATGGAATCCGTATAATTGGTAGTGTTCTAGGTCAAAGTATTGCTCTTGACCACTATGTCCGCCAGGTATGAACATTTCATCTTAGAAGTGTTTATTGAGTAAAAAATTTTATTTGTTAATATTGCTTAGAAATCTTTTCTTCTCTTAGGTTGATGGAATGGTTGCAGAATTCACTGACATAAACCGTGGAATGGAAAAAACTGGAACATTCACCATGGAAAGCAAAAAACTTTTTCAACTGGTGGGAAAGGCAAATTCTAATCTCGCTGATGTGATTCTTAAGCTTGGTCTTTTTGAAAGGTAATGATTTTTCAACTGACACAAAACCACCAGTATTACTGTGCAATTAAAGTTTTGTTGTTTTTTTTACAGATCAGACATTGCCTGGAAGGATGCCAAATATGCTCAGATATGGGAATACCTCAGAGATGAATTCGAATTGACACAGAGATTTGCCAGTCTTGATTTTAAGTTGAAGTTTGTAGAGGTATATATATATATATATACTGTTCTTTGCTGGGAAGTTTAGCAACTCTTGATATCATCATTTGTGAATTGTCTTCAACCTGAAATAACGGTTTTATTGATGTCTTTGTCTTTGCAGCACAATATTCGCTTTCTTCAGGAAATTCTTCAGAACCGGAAATCAGATTTTTTGGAATGGCTCATCATCATATTGATTAGCGCCGAAATTGTTATATCTCTTTACGACCTTTTCCAGAGGACTTTGCATTAGCAGTAATTTCCAACGATGCAAGAAGTCAGGACCTAAGGTCATAGTTGCTGTATATTACTCCTCAAGTTTTGCTACTACTTCAACAAATCATCATCAAATTGGACCATTTTGGTTCATGTAAATAGTGAATTGAGTAAAGAAGTTGAACATAAATTTAAAGCTTCTATGATCATTGATTTATTACAGTACTCAAATTTCAATCCAACAGGCATAAAAGTAGAAGTACTCAAAATACAATACAGTTTAGTCTAATTTGATGATGGAGATTAATATTATGAGCGTGGTGGTGATTTATGGTTTCTACGTACAAATTTTCTGGCCCAAACATGCTTTCCGTTAATGGAGAATTTTGCTTTGCTCTGGCCATCAAGCACCACTTCCATTACTGAAGCTGAATACACTACGAGACGTGCATATAATGGCTGCTCTACTGCTGCAGCTTCTTGCATGCATATTGTTTCAATGCACTCCCCGAAGTTTCTGATTCAACACAAGCGCCCATAATTGTAATAAGTTGACAATTAATGTTCTTGCATATAAGTATAATTTATGTGTACTACAACAACATGTGAATCTCTCTAAGAAAGTAAAAGTAATATTCTCTATTTCTCCTTATTAACCACCACTGGATGACTTTATGGTAAAAGAGCAAAATGATTCAATATGAGTTTCTAAGTTCGAGTCTCCCCAAACCCTAATAAGGGTAACTATTAAGAAGATTTACCTAATTGTTCACTTTAAGGCTCTGGGGGATTAGTTGAGGTGTCCGCAAATTGACTAGAACACTCTCGTCCACCCAAAAAAAAAAAATTACCTTTATCCCCTCTAAACTTTCTAACCGAATTTCATATATACATATACAAAATTTTTGATTCTCCTATTGTGTTTAAAATTCTTCACACTCAACACTGCTATAATAAATTTTTAAAATACGAAATACGTCAAAAATAACTATAAGTAAATTAAATTAAATATTAAAGATTTAACTATAGAGTATATGTAGTTCATATTTATAAAATTTAACTATTGCTTACCTTGTGAAGAAGTCTTTGATTTCATTTTTTGAAATCGGGTATCCTTTTGAAAAAGTCAAGAAAATCGTCCTCTCATCTTGTGGTACTACTTCTTCCTTGTTCATCTCTTGCTCATCACTGTTACTACTTATTGCTAGACGCCTCAACATCTCAACCATTTCATCACTCCTCAAAAGGGATCTCTGAACAGCAATATCATTAACAGTAGGCAATAATACATTTGGCAAAACATCTACAAACGCCTTGGAGCAGACATCATTAATGTTCCTTGTAACTCCATGAATGATGGCCAGGCGATTCTCATGAAAATACTTTAAAGAAACTCCGTCTTTTGTCATTCGTTGAGTTAAAGGAACATGAACATCGTCAATAGTTTTTTCATTACTTTCAATGCAAGTCAACAGTAGAACAGCCTCATCAGCCAACGAAGTTATTAGAGTGGCAGGCCACTTCAACATGTTAGCCACCAAATAACGACATTGCCCTACCTGTTCGAGCCATATCCACAGTGCAATCACCTGCATGGACTCGCGGGGATCGCGGCCGAGACTGTGAACCAGCCAGGTGAATAGAAGGCGATCAATGTTGTGAAACGTGTTGAACTGTTCTTGTGTCACTAGGTAATTAGCAAAAGAAGGAGAAGCCATGGTTGTGGGTTGGTAGTTTGGCGATGGCGATGTATTATTTTTGTGGGTTTTATACGTAAAAGAATGGATGCCATTGGCGACGGTTTGTAGTGAAGAGATGTGATTTCGAGGTGTAAAAAAGGAAGTTATGGGTTTAAGAGTTTTCTGTATTAGGGTTTCAATTTATTAAAGACGACGGTCAAATTATATGTATATGTTTTGTTTCTAGTTGTTTGTAGTTTTGGATTACCATCAATTTCTGATAAATATTCATTGAACATTTGCATTATTTTAATGGAATTAAAGAAGACGAATTTGGGGAATTGAGCAAGCCGAAGTTGTGGTTTACCATTTATTTTTTTGTTCAATGAATTAGTTTAATAAATTATTAACGAAATAATATGGATTCGTTTTCATATATATTAGTTTCAATACTTTTACAATGTATATATTAAAATTTTGAATGAGTTTTTTTCTTCATATATGAAATCTATTATCTATTTGTGATAATTATACGATCTTGAAAAAAGAAAAAAAACCCAAATCACCCCATGCACCAACTAAAAGGCCAATGCATGCGAACTGATATTGTCCTAACCCAGGGCTTGTCCTAAGGTAGGTTATGGTGGCTTCCTTGCTTGTACGTTTTTGTATGTGTTTTTTTACTAACGCATGTCCTGTGGTAGGAAGAGAAGAGGTGTTTCTTTTTGGTTTAGTCTTATATAGACTTTTGTGTTTTGTCCTATTTCAAGGGTTTGTTTTGTGGTAGATTGACGGTCTTTTATAGGTCTTATTGTATATTTTTTTTACTATCTATTCAAAGCTTAATTACCCAAAGAAAAAAAAATTATCATTTCAGTTAATTATTTTTTTACGATCCCTTTTGACTATATCATTTTAGTTAATTGTTTTTTACAATATCATTAGGGTTTCTAAAACACACTAGGGGTGTTCAAAAAAATGCAAAAACCGAACTGAATCGGAAAACTGGTTAACCGAAAAAACGGTTCGGTTACGGTTAGAAAAATTCAAAAAATCGGATTTTCGGTTCGGTTACTGGTTCAGGAAAAAATAAAAAACGGTTAACCGAAACCAATTTTTTGAACCGGTTTTACAAATATATATATATATATATTAAATGAAAATAAAAATATATATTATATATTAAATAAAAAAATAATTTCATTTCGAACTTTTATTTGTATCAATTTTTAATGTATTGTTAGTAGTGATGAATAGATATGTATGAATGTTTAATTTTTATTTGGATATGTATTGTTTATATTTACAATTTAATTTGAAAAAAATTAAAAAAAAATAAGTTTTATAAAAAAAAAAGGGAAAACTGGTTCAAAACCGATTAACCGTTTTTTTATAAAGTGGTTAAACAGTTTTTCCGGTTTTCCCTCCAAACCAGTTCCGAAATTTTCCCAAACCTAAAACACACTATAATTATAAAAATTACTTTATAGGTCTCGTTGTACATTATTTTCTCTATCTATTTAAAGCGTAATTACCCAAAAAAAAAAAAAAAGTCAATTGTTTTTTACTATCCTTTTTGACGATATCATTAACGCTTCTAAAACACACTAAAGTTATAAATAAATTAAAAAAAAATGAAGATCCTTATTGTTACAATATCACTTTACATGGATGTATTTATTTGTATTACGAGAAGAAAACCACCTCATTTATGTTAAAAGTTTTTATATTTTTATTCAAATTAATATAGAACACAAAATCTTTTAAATGGATATTATAGTATGACAGCAGAATGTTCCTATTTTTGGACAACTTTTTAATATATGAAAATGGGACATCTCCAACTAATATCGTGGGGGTTCGCTCCATTTCTTGAATTTTTTTGTTCAAACCTTAAGGTTATTTATCACGATAATATTGTGGTTGACTTGATCATTTGTACGTTCAATAGACTTTGAAGATTAATTGAGGTACGTGCAAATTGGTCTGGACACCCGGTTACCCAAAAAAAAAATGGGACATCTCCAACTAAGAATTGAATAGGGCCATTTAAGTTATATAAACATGTATACAAGAAGATAAAAGTTGGGCCAAATATGGAGGCGCCATTTATATAGACAAAAGTTGGAGCATTTCGGCTAGGAAAGAATAGCCAACAGGTTGTAATATGAGAAAGTATAGCCCTTGTCATCTATTGGCTCTTAATCCTTAATAAATAGAGCACGGAGTGTACTTGAAAAACGTTGAAGAAGAACAAGCAGAAAGGAGTTTAACCACAACACATAAACCCGTCACAATTTCGAAGGGCTTTCCAGAACACAGAGACGTAAGTATTTCTCAATAAGTTTGTGAATTACTGAATTGTTTTGGTCAAGAGATTAAAGTGTTAATGACAATATTTAAGCTCTAACTTTACTAATAGGAGTTATTGTATTCATGGTTTAATGAAAGAAGTTTGGTGTTGTATAAAATGTTAATGTTTTCATTTGAAGTGGGTGTTATTATGTGATGGTCATTTTGTCACCAATTAAACTGATAAATTATTGCGTTATGTCTATTTTTGAATACATCGAGAAAGGGAGAAGGGATCAAATCTAGATTTTGAGTTTATGAAGGCGAAACTTATGCAGGTAAATTGTCTGATAAAATTTCTCGAAGAACTAGAGTCAGTTGGATGGGTGTAAAGTAATTTAGTTTTCTTTTAATAAATATGTTGTATTTATCATAATTTTATAAAATGTTAAGTTTTATGAACACATATTAACATAAATTTTATAGAATTTTTGTTTTATCATCAACGTTCAATAAACTTTTTGGTTTCCATTGTATGTTTATTTACATTCAGTTTTAGATTTTTATGAGAATTGTATTGTATAATATTTTGCTCTTAAAATGTTATTCATGTGTATTTATAAAAAATGGCCGTCCTGAGGTTTTTTTTTTTTTTTTTCCTCAGTAGTATTACAGTGCACACACATCTACTGTTTTTTGTATGTAATTTAATCGTTGGTGTACTTAAAAAAGTTTGGGATGAACTTAGCACCTACAAAACTTCCAACTCCACTGAGCAAGTGAAGTGTATTGACTATTGAGCTTTTGGGTTTTCACAGTACAAAGCAAAATGACGAGTACCAAAATCCTGTTCAGCAATGGCGTTGTATCGAACTCCTCCGGCACTCCTCCTGTCTCGACCTTCCTCCAAACCCATCCAGGTACACCCCTTACAATGTTTTCTTTTTTGTTGAGAATAAACTCAAATTTATTTAATTTCTTCTTGTTTTTTTCAAGTGATTGTATAACGAGAAAGAAGAACGTAGATTCAGTTTCTTATAATTAAACACTAACATGTACTTAACAGGTGCATACACGACAACTCGCACTTACAACAATGGTTCATGTCTCATGTTCTGGGATAGACATTTACAGAGGCTAGCAAATTCTGCAAGAATTCTGTTCGATTCACACCCACAATTATTGTTTAAATCAAGTCATAATACCATGCCATCATTGTCAAAATCAAAACCATCATCATCATCATCATCAATGTGGGAATCAATGGTTAAGTCTTTAGTAAATGATTCAATGAATAAAGTAATGCCCATTGCTTTGAAAGAGAGGAGAGACGAGGAAGAGTTGGCAGTTACTGTTCTTTTTAGTGGGGATTTTGATAAATTGAGTGGAATGGAGAATGTGGGTATTGAAAATATGTGTAAGATTTTTGATGTGCATGTGCATTTGAGTGGATATGTACCTCCTGTGTTTGGTTTTCATGGAAATGGGGTGAGTTTGGCTGTGGTGGGTCGTGGAAGGGATGTTGCGGAGGCAAAGTACTCAGATTGGGTGAGGTTAGTGTGATTTTATGCATTTCAAATTCTTTGAGAAGCTTTATGTAACCTAAACCAGTATTAAATATTGCTATGTTGTGATTGATTATGTTATTGTGTTATGAGTATTATGAATGATTTCTGGTTTTGAATTTCAATTGATTGAATGGAGTATTAGTTACTTTTTACTGGATGTTAGGCAGGCTTAGGAAGTCTTTGGAGAAGCTGAGGCCACCAACAGTCACTGAGCTTTTGTTGTCAAATAATGGTGATCAAATTCTTGAAGGCTCAGTAACAAACTTTTTTGTTGTTTGTCGCAAGGTGAGTGATCTTGGATTATATAAATATTACCTAAAATATTGTCTTTACTTGTGTTAGAAGAAATCCTATACAATTCAGAGACCTACCCTGAAATAGATTTCTGATGTAATTCGTATGTATTGTGTGCCACAAATGTCTAAAGTGAACAGAAACTCTAGAACAAATAACTGGTATCTAACAGTCATTTGCAAACTAACAAATCTTGACTTTGAATTGTCTTTCATAACCCACAAGATAAAGTATTGTCTGGGTTAACCATGTGATTTTAGACCACTTAATTGCATATAATGGGCTGAAATTGTTGTGTAATACTTCTTCAAACTGACTCTTTTCCCATTCACATCTGGATTCCTTTTTACTTTGTATCTAATAAGAGATGTTATATGGAAGGTGCTTATACTACACAAGTTCTTGACATTTAGCTTTGATTTTATTTCAATTATTTTGTATGGAACATAAACACGGGTCATGGATCATGTGTGTTGTTTCTTTCAAGTTATAGATAACAATTGCTTGTATGAGCATCACATGATAAGTGGAATGGCAATTCTAGTTGACATGGTTGCTCTGTGAGTCACAGAAATAGTCATCACTTACAATGGAATTGTTTTTGCACTATATGGACGTATGTGTGTCTTATAAAATAAAATGTGCTTGTATGTGTGATCGGTGAACGTGATCTTGGTGTCAGCACATGTATTAGCATGTGGTTTTATTGGGAATTCTTATGCATTATTTATACAATTCTAATTGTTCTATAAACTATTTTTTTTCAGGATAACAATGAAACTGAGGACAAATGCTTGCAAAGTAACTATGCTTTTGAAGTGCAAACAGCTCCTATAAGTGATGGTGCCCTTCCAGGAGTTATACGCCAACTTGTTATTGAGTGAGCTACCCTTATGGGATTTTTAGGTTTTGTTCTTTTTGATATACTTTGGCGCATTAGTGGTGCATCTTAGTCAGATTATATCTACAAAGTTTATATAAGTATGATATATGTTGCATTTCTTTCATCAAAAGAATCTTTATATCCTTGCTAAGGTTCATAAATCATATCAAGAGGTAGAAATGGTTTGTTTAAGAGTAAGCCTTTTGGAGGCATTGAATCACATTTGTTTTGAAGTGCATCATAGTCGAGTTATTAAGTACTTGCATATGTTAGTGAATTGACTTATGTTTTGGGGTTGAATAATGTAGCACTCAATTCTTAATTATAGGCAACAGATTCTCTTAATATTGAGTGCATGCTGAATTTCACTTCTTATTATTGGCTACCTAAACTTGTTAGGTCATATAAAGCGATAATAATTTGACAAATAATTGCATATCTTAGGATTGATTATGCTTGACTCCAAAAAGTTTAAATTTCAGAGTATGCTTAAACAAGGGAATCCCTGTACGTGAAGTCGCACCATCATGGTCAAAGCAGGAACTATGGGAAGAAGCATTCATTACAAGTAAGCCTTGCTTTGTATTTTATTGACAGGATAAGGAGTCACCCACCTATGATGCCATGACCTTTTTGCTTCCTGTTTTTGTGGCAAAATCTTGTCATTTTCTCTGGCTGCAACATATGCATAAACATGTTGGTTCAAGTTATGATCCTACTTCTGAAATTATGAATTCCATTGTTGCACTTTCAAGTTTCTGCTGAATCTTTATTTTGGTTGAGAACTAAAATGAATGAGTTGGACTGCTTTGTATCTTAACCAGTACATGTCATGCCTTCATTGTTTTGATGCGTTGAAGTTCTCACTCCAGTTGCTATTAGGACCATCTCATGTGCAAAACTTACTCTGGTAGCAAATACTGTTATCTGCAATTCAGATGCTGCATTCCTGATTACCCTTCCGTAAAATTAATCTATACAATAGATTTGTGTCACAGGTAGCTTGAGAATCCTACAGCATGTGGAGTCGATTCAAGTTCCAATAATCTGGGGATTGCATGAATCAAAGTGTTGGAACGATATTGCATGGAAGGAGAAGCAGATTGAGGTGCATGATTTTTCCTTTCAAATTTCTGTCTTACCACAGAAGTAAATGTAGTACTTCAAGCTGTTATTATGTTATGTTTTTCACCATATTTGATATTGGATAAACAGGAGAGTCCTGGGATGATTACGCAATTAATTCAGGTAACCGCACACATTTCAATTGCTTGCACCATCCATTTCAATAGCTGATATGAAGTACGCTACACTGCATATACAAGAAAAAATTTAGTTCAGAATTCAGCAAATCTAAGGGGGAAAAAAATTAAATCCGTATTGTCACCTTCACATCCTAGTTTCTGTATTTTAATCATGGTAGTTGCTAAGATGCCGTGAGGTACTATATTTTAGTAACTTGCAAGGGTAATAATGGGCATAATATGTTACTCATATTACATTGTGTGCTACCAAAATATCATTTTAGTATAGTTAGCAGCACAGTAGTGTAGTACAACCCTTTAGTTCATCACCGAATACTGGGAGTGGGGATGGAATGGAGAACGCTATACTTTTTACTTTTCTATCTTCCACATTTTAAATTCTTTTTGGGTGTTGGAGCAGAAAGAAATCATGGCAAGAGCAGGTCTGGAAAGGAACATATAAAACAGGTGACAGAAGCATTTTAGTTTTGATCTGCATGGAAAGGCTGGAAGAAAATAGCATACCACCCCATCGATATCAAGATGGGCATGCGACTTGTCTTGCCTGTTCTTGTGAAATGTGTGATTCACCCAAAGCTTACGCAGTATGAAATACCCAAAGTATATCTGCAAACAGTTAACTGTTGTCAGGGAGGGTTGTTCTCTGTATTGACTTTTTGGGTTCAAATTACTTTAGAGTCATCTACCATATTTGTAGTTTATCCTGAAACATTGGATTTGTAGGATGTTCAATGGAAAAAAAAATTGTATTTAATAGACTTTTGTATCATTAAGAACTGTGGTGGGTACCAAATTACTTTCGAACTAATAAATATTCATAATAAATGTGGGATCCCAATTTTAATATATGATTTGGAATTTCATTATAGACCTCCCCACAGCATAAATTATTATCTTAATTGGGGAATATTTCTTCTGGGTGATTTTTAATCTTATAATCTATCCAATGAAATTTATTGGATCAATTCAGATAACCCCTTTTTAGCTCATAAATAGCATTTTTGGTGGCATTGATGTTTATCTTTACTTATATCATGATCTTATTGAACTTAATTTAACAATCTAATTAATAATAATATAACATTCACCCACTTAGTCTTTAATTGCACATTAATTAGATGATATACTAAAACAATTGATTAAGATTTAAGAGATTCACCTATCCGTTTTCACCCAAAAAAACCAGCATTAAAAAACCCTAGTTTTGATTTAATACTTGTCCCCACTCCATTGCCATATAGCTCACATTTTCACCCATAATTTAATTCTACATTTGGGCCTAAAATTTCCTTAGTCATTCAATAATTACACCTCATTTAACTTAATTAATGCACAGTGTTTTTAATTTCTTTTTCCAACTTTTTAATTAATGTTTTGATTATTTATTAATTATTATAATTAGATTAAATTAAATAATATAATATAATATGATAGAAATGAACACAATCACAAGTTCACAACACAAATGTGATTAAGTCACGTTTTGTTTCTGTTTACAGTGTGATTGGTCACTTCACTCGCTGAGAAACAAAAAAAAAACAGAAGTTACAGTTCCTTAAAGTAAATTTACCATAACACCCCTTCCCCCCCTCCCTCACAAGAAACGTGCGTGGGACCACCTCCTCAACAAACTGATCTGATTCATAAAACGCCACCTCACTTATTTTTCTCATCAGATTCTCCTTCTCTAACCTCCCTCTCCTCTGCATCGTCAGATCAATCAGATTTCTATTTTTTTCTTTAAAATTTAAAAAAATATAAATCTCACCAATCACTCCTCTCTCCCTCTTCCACCTCCAAAACGCGCGCAAAATAAAATATAAAACGCTTGTCTCTCCTGGTACTTCTCCCTCTCTCTGTTTCTTTATACCGTCCGAAACGTCACCGTTTTTGTCTGTATTTCTTCAGTTTATTTCAAATTTAAATTTCTTCTGCATGCGTTTACATAGGTATTTATGTTCGAAACTTCTACTTTTTAGTTGTTTTCAAGATGATCTTTTAGATTTTTATGTATGTATGTTTTTGTTTGCATTTCTGTATGTATGTTTGATCACATGATGGAGAAATCTATGTATGTATGTACGTATGGATGGATGTGTGTCTGTGTTGTTCGTACATGCGTGTTTAAAGTTAGGGTTTCGTTTTCAATATGTTAAATGTGGTGATTTGATACGTATGAGGTTAATTTAGGGATTTGGTGAGATGGCGGATGCACCAACGAGTCCGGCGGGAGGGAGCCACGAGAGTGGTGGAGAGCAGAGCCCGCATTCAGGAGTCAGAGAGCAGGACAGGTATTTGCCCATAGCTAACATAAGCAGGATCATGAAGAAGGCCTTGCCGCCTAATGGAAAGATCGCCAAGGACGCTAAAGACACCGTTCAGGAATGCGTTTCCGAGTTCATCAGCTTCATCACCAGCGAGTATGCAAATCATTAACTCTGTGTTTTGTTGTTAATTTATTTGTGATTACGGTAGCTTTGGTACTTTGGAGAATAATTAGGTGAATGTTGATTTGAGGAGGTTTTTTTTTTTTTTTTTAGTGAATTATGATGTGTTTTCTGGGGAATATGGCTTTAGTTTTGTGGAAGGTGTCGTTTTGGTGTTTTTGGAAAGTGAGGTTTCGTTTTATTGGTTGAGAATTATGTTTCTGCAAATGAGGGTTTTGTTTTGTCTTGTTGTGGTAATGTTTTTTGTGAAGTGGGCCTTTGTTCTATGGATGAGTGAGAATTGCGATTTCCTAATTTATGAGTTGGGAATGGTGTTTTTGGAAATTTGGGGGTTTTGTTGTGTATTCTGATTTTTGCTTTAAGAAGTTGTGCTATTTTTTGGAATGTATGGTTTGGTTTCTGTCAGAGGTGGGTTATATGATTTTAATTGTGAATTGGTTTTATTTTTATTTTTTTCCTTTCTAAGAAATTAATAAAATTTTTTCTGGATTGTGTTGTGTTTTTGGGAAATTGGTTTATGTTTCATGAAAATTGGTTTGCAAAATTTCTTTTCTGTTAGGGCAAGTGATAAGTGTCAAAAGGAGAAGAGGAAGACAATTAATGGGGATGATTTGCTCTGGGCAATGGCAACTTTGGGGTTTGAAGATTACATTGAGCCGCTTAAGGCATACCTAGTGAGATATAGGGAGGTATGTTATCTTTCAATTGTGATACACTCTTTCCTTTGCCTTTGTTAATGCCCAATTGCCTTTTAAACATCTGAAATGGCGACTCTCTCTCTCCTTTGGTTTCCATCATTTATATTTAACCAAATGCTTCTGTAGCTTTTGGTTTGGCTTTTCATGTAATATCTTTATAATGTTGTGTCACTTGTGAATTTGCTCTAACAATGTCTTTTTGTCTTTTTTCTTTTGGGGATTGATTTTTTTTGGGATGATCATCGGTAATAGTTGGAGGTAATGAATCATTTCCTCACTGAAATTTTGTCATTTATCAATTTTATATTAAATTCCTGCTTGTTATTATCTAAAAAAGTTTTTCCTAGAAAATTAGGACTGTAAAATTAATTCTGACACTGTTTGGAAAATTTGAACTCCGACAGGGTGACACCAAGGGAACTGCTAGGGGTGGGGATGGATCTGCTAAAAGAGATACAGTTGGAACTCTTGCCGGCCAAAATGCACAGGTGCTGCCATATAATTCAAATAATCTTACTTTAGAATTTCTTAAAGGAGGATTGAAATTCTTGGTTGCTTTGTACTTGTTTAACGATTATTGATAATTGATCATTAGCTTACTCTACTCTATTTTTTCTGCATCGGTGGTGAATAAATCCTGCAGTTTGGTCTTCAGGGATCATTGAACTATGCTAATCCGCAAGTTAATCCCCAAGTAATTATCTCTCTTTTTCTCTTACACACTTGATCAATTTTTCATTAACTGAAAAATGAAATGCTAATTAAATGGTAGAAGCAACACTTTTCGGGTATTATGTTGCTTGCCATACCGGTGTACCAATCTTTATCTACTTATGGCTAATTTAAATAGGAACGTCATTGGTTAATTTACGCTTGAAAATGGATTGAATTTCATATTCTCCTTGATGTCTTGCTTGTTTAGTGCGTATGTTAGGTAAAAGTTGTGCAGAGATGTTCATTGGTCTATGAAATGGCCCTACTAATTGTTATGTTTATCTAGATTGCAAACAGTTGATCCCTGTGTGCTTAAAACCCTTTTGCATCTTGGCTTATCTATGCTTCGAAATAACTGTTTTTGTCATGTGAATTTCTTATTAAGGGTGTTCAAAACCGGTTAACCAGTCCAAATACCCCTTTTTTTGAACTGAACCGGTTTTCCGGTTAGGGGAAATCCCTAAACCGGAACCGAATCGGTTATGGGGGAAAACCGGTTTTGAACTGAACCACTTTTTCAGTTAACTGGTATTAAACCGTTTTTCCCCCAAAGTAGTGTAAAAATGTACACCGAAACTTAAAAAAAAATCACTAAACCGGTTAACTGGCTTTGAACAGGTTTTGGGCCTTTTGTCCCTTTTGGGCTTTTTAATTTTTATTGTAAAGCCGGTTTTAAAAACCAATTCTCAGAATCCACTAAACCGGTAACCAAACCGAAAAATCGGTTCAAAGAAATTCTTAAACCGAAATCGAACTAGGTTCATCAGAAAACCGGTTTTCAGTCCCGTTATCGGTTCGGTTTACGGATTTTTTTGAACAGCCCTATTTCTTATTGCTATTGTAGATAAGTTTTGGTTCTAATTGGTTTATGTAAAAGTCAGGTAGCATTTTATCCATATAGTTCATCAACATTGTGCTGTTGGAATTAGAGAAGAAGATTAGAATAGGCAGTTGGGTAATTTTACTCAATATATAAAATAAAATTGAAAAAAAAAATTCTCTAGGTTTTACTAATCAATGTCACTGATGTACTTCTATTCAGCTAATGGCTCTAACTGCAGTTCACAGAGAACCAAGGCTTGTGATAAAGGAATCCCAAGAAATTTACAGAATCTTTTTTATTTTGTTGTCTTTCTACCTATTATCATCATTCTTGTCAGCTGCCATTGACATTGCAATTACTTTCTCGCTGTGGTGGGTACCTTCCCTAAACCCATCTGAATTAACCAGGGATAGTAATTACTTGGGACAGCTGCCATGTAGCCTGGTGATGTCAGAGGTGGGAGCCAAAACTCCTTACTCACTTCCTGGCTGATTTTGGGGTGTTATTATTGCTGACTGTCTCAAGTAAAATGTTAGGTGTTATACAGCTGAGGTACTGGCTCATGCCTTATCGTGTCCCAAACCAACGCTGGTTGGTGAATGAATTGGCAAAACCACAAATTGAATTGAAATTTGGTCTATTGCTTTTTTTTTTTTTTTTCCTTTTCCCTTTTTTCTTTCTAGAGAAGAAAAGAGAGGAAAGTATGTCGTGGGATTTATTTGTTGCTGGGGTTCTAATGAAATTGGTTTTCCTAAAATTTCGCAGGCACGGGGGCAGCATATGATTGTTCCTTCTATGCACGGTAATGAATAAAGGGTTGTAGCTTCAATTTTTATGAATTCTAGGTTGATCAAATTATTTAGTTTCAACTCCAACAGCTTCTTATATATTGACTTACTTTACTTGACCCATAGTGCTATTTAATTTTGTGGTTGAGGGTGATTTGGATTATTTTTTTTGTTTTGATGCCCTCATCAACAGAACAGCTCTAGTAGTCACATATCAATGATGTAAATGTGTCTCTTTGTCTAATTTATGATTGCATGAAGCATATGATATTATTTACGTACTTGTATTTTCTGCTAATCTGGAAATTATTCTAGGGAATTGTTGCTGTGGCAATAACGCCATTGAAATTTTAATCTGTTGCAGATCTTTCTTCCATGTTTGATTCATGGAATGCACTTTCTTAATGAAGATGCATCGATGGATCAAAGTAGTCAACAGGATTTAGTTAGTTAGGGTTGACTCAATGACAACCCGATGTGATGATTGTAAACCATACATGATCCATGAAGAAACAACAACATAAACTTATTAGGTGGAAAAGCTTGTACTATGTGAACCTGATGGTTAATAGAATTCTTACCACTCTTTGTTGGTGTGTGGTGGGGTCTATGAGGAAGGCCCACAAAGTGACCAACTTCCAACCTAGTAAAGCCATAGACAATGACGCCAGCATCACCATATCCAAAACCCTAATTTAACGTTAAATAAAGCATCAAAACTCATTCACTCACATAAATTTGTGGCCATCCAAGTGGCCTATTGTCCAAAAGAGTAGCACGTGACACTTATTTGTCACTAAAAGAGTACCACGTTACATGCACGTGAGACATGATAATAGACACTTCATTTCACAGACAGAAGAGAGAGAAACAAGAACAAAACAATACCCCCAAGTTCATGTACTAACTTCTCTAGTTCTCTTTAGTTATTCTCTACCTCCATCTCCACGACGTGACCATCATTTCTTGCTTCGCACGAGCTTGCCAGCTCAACTTTAATTTCTATCCCACCACCAAAAACTCCATAACCCACTTGCAAAATCTTCTTGCTACCATCCATCAATGGCTTTCTAATTCTTTTTGCCATAAATTTTCAGAAGTTTTACTCTGTTTTTTTTCATAATTTAGTGCATTTTGGGACATGGGTTTGTGTTATTTTGGATCTTAAATGACTATGAGAACCCCAAAAATGTGTGTAAATTTGAACACATCCCAACCTTTTAGTTCAATAGTCAAAGTTATAACATTTCAAATATTAGGAAGAGCAATTCTATATTTATAATCCAATCTCATAAATTTTCTTTCACAATCCCGACATAATCTGTCCAACAATGGATCATGTCTGGCTAATTGTGAACTGTCGTATCGGAGTCGTGAGATAAAGTTTGTAAGATTTTATTGTGAGTCAATATTTGTTATATTAGAAAATACCCCTTTAAACTAATAACCGTTGATCAAATCTTAACTCCGAAACAATATTTTTTTAAGCAAAGATAATGAATCGTTTGTTTTTCCCTTACGTATATGAGTAAATTATCCGTTCTGCCCTTACATAAATTAAGGTCATTAGAAACTACAGAATCTTGAAACCTAGACCCGAACCGCATGGGATAAATGCAATTATCTCCATAGACATATTCATGTTGAGATATAACATGTATGCATGTTGTTTGTGTATTTTGTAGTGAGAAATAATAAATAATAATTTAAAAAGTGAAAAAACAGAAGGCAGGTGGTTTACTTTTTGCCAACTCATATGCAGAAAGTGTCCAGCTCACACCACCATCACCCCTTGTTGAGACCTCACCTTCCATTTTTAAAAACAAAAAAGCTTTTAATCAGTCAAAGACACCACCTTACACATTCATTTCTGATAAGAGTCAAGGTCGAGGTTGGATGATATCTTTCAATGGTGGGCTTTTTAATTTTGTTGCATGCTATACAGCTGGCCACGTTACAGACATTGTTGCAGAGATAAAAAGAGATTTTGATTTCTAAATCTGCCCATTCTCACGTGGCTTTTGTTTCTTCAATTCATCACCCCCAAACTGCTTTCCATAATCAACCCATCATCACCACCATCCATCCCCTCTCCTTCTTTCTCTCAACCCCTCTGAAAAATCAGCCTCCAAATAATTTAACGTATCTAAAGTATTATCAGGAAATGGTTTAGTTTTTGGGCCTATTTGATATGACTTGTTTCTAATAGTATTATCAAAAAAGTGTGAAATTTTGTAATGCGAAATTCAGAACCTGTGGGCATGAACTTGGCGTGCCATGGTATTTATCTCTTTTAGGCGTGTCAATCACGCACTTTCTTATTCTCGACACTCGAGTTTTGACTCTTGAGGGCTAAAGGGCAGATGAACGGTTGAGATTTTATTGTGTGTTTTATCGCGTCTGTCAGAGTCAACAGACGAGGTTTGACTGCCACGTGAGAGTAGAATTTTATTCTCGGCACCAGGTTTAGGTTTAAGTCAAATTATACCTAAAGAAAAGTTTAATTGAGATTTTTAAGTTTATTACTAAATAAATCATTTCACTTGCTAATAGGGGTGGTCACTAGAGTTTTTATTTGGTTGATAGTTTCAAAATCCTCAGTTCTCCTCAGTTGTTAATAGGAGCGGTCACTAGAGCTTTTACTCGGTCGATAGTTCTAAGGTTCCAAGAGATAGTGATCACTAAAGCTCTTATTCGATTAGTAATTCTATGGTCCCAAGGTCTCCTTGGTTGTTAATAGAGGTGGTCATTAGAGCTCTTACTCGATCAATAGTTTCAAGGTTTTATGAAATTAGTTAAGGTGCATATAAACTGATCCGAACACTAATGATCATATATCTATACTTAAAGCTTTTTGAAAGTGATAAATACATCCTAATTAAAAAAAAAAAAAACCTGTAATAATTTTTTATTCAAATACAATTTTATTCGTTTTTATTTGGATCAATTAAATCAATTGTAGCAAAAGTCATAAACAAATGATTCAAGACCATAATCCAAAACAAATTAGCAAACATTAATTGATTAATAATTATGGAATCTAACAACAATAAAACCGCGTTAAATGAATCACTAAACCATGTTTAATTTAATTAACGAAAAAAAGGTCCGCATCGGCCCCTTGATTGGTGCCTTCAATTTTTCTTCTAATCCTAAATCATCCATCAATCAATCACATGGGTTCTAAACAAAGTACTAGAAAAACTCAAGAAAATTCAAATGTGCCACCAATTATCATTACTTTCTTAGATTCTCCAAACTAATTAATTTATTGAAATTAGTTTATGGGTTAATTTATTAAACTTAACCCTGAAATTATCGATTGAATAAGAACTATAGTGGCTACACTTATTAGTAACCAATAAATGACTTGAACTCATAACCTCTTAAATAATACATCTAAGAACCTCTATCGAATCACTCGATTACTTAAAGATAATTAGGTTTAGGGTTTAGACTTTAATTATGGGTGTTTTTAATATTTTTCAAAAAAATACGTGAACTTGATTATATTTATAAGGGATGAATGAAATTTCATTAATTTTCTTTGATTCCAAAATGCATCATATGATATGACATTTTGGGAAAATGTTGGGTATGATTATTTGAATTAAATACATTGTCAATTATAATTTTGAACAATATTAAGGATTAAAAAAAAAAAATTCCATTAAACTTAAAAAATTTTAATTTAGAAAATTTTCAAAAACCTTTGATTGGTCGGTGAAGTCACGCGCGTGACAACATTATAGGGTAAACTTGAAACTTCGACAAATGATGACAAGGATAATAAGTAAGTAGGTGAGACATTCAAAGTGGGGGCCACAATAACTGAAAGGATGAGTGGGTCCACGTGATCGAGCAGAAATACTGTAGGATCTGCTGCGTTCATGTTGCTGAGTTTGACCATTTCGTTACTTACAAAAGAAATAAAATTCACAGTATATATTGTATCCCACTGCCACCACCTCCACCAATCATCGAGTGCCACGCCACTTTCACATAGTATTAGAAATTAACGCTTACTAACTTTAGTGGTTAATAATTTTCTTTTAATTATTCAAAATAAAATAAAAAAAGTTTAAAATTTTAATTGAGGTGACATTTATTTGTCTCACTTGTTTGTTGTATTGCGGTAAATTTTATTTTTAATTTTGTTGTTTTTACTATGTTATAACTTTAGTGGCAGTATATATTTGTCTCTTTTACACTTTAAATTGATAGCAATATTAAACCAACATTAAAGAATAAATAATTTATTACATAAAATTAAGTAGTATTTATTACATCAATCAAAATATACTTAAAATGCTCAAAATATTTAAGGTATATTTTTTTGATGATTTAAAAATAATTTCTAAAAACTTAAACATTTAAATATTTTTTAATTATATATTTATATTTTTAAAATATCTAACGATATTTTTAATATAATATATAAAAACTTTTTTTGTATTAGAAACTAGAATAATGTTAATGTTAGTAACTGTATTACGTATCTACAATTAATAATGTATACATAATAAAAAAACTTTTAATCGTGCTACATTAATTTTTAAAATTATATATGAAAAGTGTTTTTAAAAATATTTCAATTCTTTTATACCAATGTAACACATTTTAATAGCAACCACCGTTAGGTGATCTGATGGTAAAAAAGTAAAAAAAGTTTTATGAGTTCTTGATTTCTAATCCCTTCAAGCCTAGTTAATAATTTCGCGAATAGTCATATTTTATCAGCACATCCGTATTATTCTCGTATTCGAATTTTTACAAACGTATTTTTTACCATTTGTCGTATCATACTCGTAAAATTTCTATATATTTTTTTATCGTACCTATATATCTGAAATGCTATATAGATATTAACTAGATGGTCCATCAAAAGTGCTAAAACTAGGATCGATATTACTGTATTTTTCAAAACGTATTATTGACAATGTGTCGTATTAAACCCGTATATACCTATACCGTATTTTTTTCGTATCCGAATTTTATGACTGAATTTTTACAAACGTATTTTTCACTATTTTTTGTATCATACTCGTAAAATTTTCATACTTGTATTTACTAACTAGGCCTTCAAACATTAATAAGAGTGATATATAATTCTAAGGTCTCGAGTGATTAGTTGAGACGTGCACAATCTTACTTGGACATCTTGGTGAATAAAAAAAAAAACATATATTAACAAGACTTATTTTTTAGATTATAAATTTTTGGGATTTTTATATAAATATCATAGATTTCATGTCGAATAAAATCGGAAACTGAAAAATAATGAGCGATGAAAGCAGTGATAAATTGAGATTGTGAGGAGGGGGAGCATCTGAGAGTGACGTGGCAATGAGTGAAACGACCGGCCGTATCATGTTTGCCACTTTACAGATTCTAGGACTGCACGTCGTCGCGTACGTTAAATTCGTTACCTTTGTGGGCCCTCATCCATTCAATGTACGGCCTTTTAGCTGTCTCTCCTTAAGTTTTTCCCATTGCTCTCCACGCGCCTCTTTCCAAATTAAAATACTCAAAACGGTAAATCAAACAGTGGTTTTTATGCGTAATTAATAAAGGCAATTAAATCCAAAAATATAAAAACTTCATTGTCATTCACAACTGTAAAACCAAAAGCCATTGGAGGAACAAAAACAGAAATAAAGGAGGCAGAACCAGAAATTAATTAAAAGTAGAGAAGATGAAAAGAGGTTAATAATTTTTGTACAAATGTCAAATATGTAAAGAGAATACATTTGTGTGATCACGTTGATAATCAATCTTCTTTTAAGCTAATCAGTCTATCTGTCTTTGCCTCTCTGTCCTTCTGTTTTTCTCCATTTTTTTATTCCCACCTCTTCCCTTATAATTATCCTCCACTTCTCTCCCTCTCAAAACCTACTCTCTCTCTCTCTCTCTACATCTCTTTTCTCTTCTTTTTTCATCTCTCATTCACATAACCCACAATCCCATTCGTCTTTTAAAGCTTTCGTTAACTTCAGCTGGGTTAGGGTTTTGTAGTTTCATTGACGATGAGCAATAATTTTGGACAGTTTGGTGACACGACTCTCACCAAAGTTTTCGTTGGAGGCTTGGCATGGGAGACGCCTAAAGATGCCATGAGAGAACACTTTGAGAAGTACGGTGAGATCTTGGAGGCCGTCATTATCTCTGATAAACTCACCGGCAGATCCAAGGGCTACGGATTCGTAAGTCTTTTAACTCTAAAAGAGTTTATGAAGTTTTATTTTATATATATATATATATATATGCTAAAATGTAAGTTATATTTTGATTATGTAGGTTACGTTTAAGGAAGCTGAATCAGCCAAGAAGGCTTGCGAGGATGCCACTCCCATCATCAATGGCCGCCGTGCTAACTGCAACCTTGCCTCTCTCGGCGCTCGCCGCCCCCGCTCGGCTTCCACCACCCCACCTCAACAAGGTACACATATATAAGCTCAAGTGTAACGGTCATCGTATTTTTTTTTTTTTTTTAACTTAAAAAAATCTTTTCGGAATTCGTTGTCTTCGTAAGAAGTACGTTGGAGGATGGGATTTTAGTAGGTGGATATTATATGTAACTTTATGTGGTGGGTTCTAATGATTTGATGTAAATCATGAAGGATCAAACGTTGGACCGAGGTCCACGTCAGCAGCGCCGGCAAATCATGTGCAGTGGTACTACCCACCTGGCACACCAACAGCACCATTTCATCATCAGCATCATCAGCCAGTTCCTTTCTATGGGTATATGTCCCACTTTCACTTTTGTTTCCTTTGGGATGTATTTCATTAAGGTAGACATTGTCTTACCGGATTATTTCACTGTTATATTCAGGTACTCTCCGACCTACATTGCTACTGATGTCAGTTACAATCATGTAAGTTAACGATCTGGAATATGATTAGATAAAACTGCACTCTCATCGTGATTCATGTGTCCTCACTGATCTACCGTGTGATGCAAAGCACATGGGTATTAGTTTTGAAAAATTTGCCATTGATTAATGCTAATGATAAGCGATAGTGACCCCACAATTAAGTGGCCCTCTCGTGAATATAAAAATCAAAATCCTTTATTGCCGTTTGTTGTATTATCTAGCCCTTACTAACGGCCAAGTAAATAGTGCCAATCATGATCAGACGGTGAAGAATCAATTTGGAAAAATATAGTAACGTTCAATTGGTTTTGTTTTTTGTGTGGTGTGGTGCACAGAAGTTGAGTTACACTGGCGGGTCCTACATGAACGGGCATTACTCACAGCCACAGGTGTATCCGGGGCAAGCTATTATGGGTGCCAACACATTGATGCCAATGTACCCTCTGTATCATTTCCATCAATCACAGACAATGGGCTTACCGGCCCACATCTTCCCAACTACAACAGCGGGGCCCATGACAACGGTCCCTGCTATGATGTCAAAACCTGCATCAATTGCTGCTCCTAACACAGGTACTTAATCATTGATTGATTTTATTCTACATCCGCCACACTCGAATGCATGCCAAACTTAGTAAACGCCTGTAACAAGTAACAATGTCATCCTTGAGTTGAGGTTGACTAAACTGTTAACTGATACTCTGATACTGATAGGGACCAAAAAGTTTCCTAACTAAACCTTAGGGACGAATATGTTATTTTTCCTGGATCAATTTAGTACGTGGATCTCTTCTTGGGTTTGAATTGAAATTTTACCCATTTGCCAACTGGCCCTTTAGGAATAGCATCACTGACATGCTGAGAAGATATGATTTAAGTGAACAATCTCCATGATAAAGTCTGATTGACCATTATTTTAATTAAATTGAAAATAAAAATAAAAACTGATATTACAAAAACAGTTTGTTTGTCTGTGGAATAGGTAGTACAGTTGGCGGAGGTGAAAAGGCATAAAAGGGGTTGTGGGTGAGTTGGCAGTAACATGGCAATGCAATGCAAGAGAAGAAAATGGAAGAAGAAGAAGCTGCTCAGAACAAAGATTATTATTATATGATCTGTTGTGGCTGTTTCTTTCCAATAATTTTTAATTTTAATTTTCATTTAATTTATTCTTATTATTATTAATTAGGTGTTTGATAAGATTCTTTAATCCTCTTTCTTTCTAACATCTAAGCTGATGATATTGATGAGCATTATTACCATAACTCAAAACCAATGTAAGAGAAACTCGTGTATTCAACTTTGCCTTGCCATGTCTTATTTTCATATGGAATCCACCTGGGCCCATCTGAGGCCCATTTCTACAATACTCTGTGCAGCTTCGATTTTTTCACAAGGCCCATTCATAACAATAATAAATAATGGAATTCACACTTTCACTTTCTGGAGTCAAGCTTTTGAATATTCGTCACAAAAGGGAAAGTTGGATTCTAATAACGTATCCACTTCCTTCCAATCCTGCATTTTCTGGGAGATCTCATGTGTTAGTCTGTGAAAAGGATGAAATAAGTTTATTAGAAATACAAATAATCTCAATGTATATAATATATATTCAATCAACTTAAATAGTGTACCTGTCGTATAATCAATCTATCTTGTTTATAGGTGAAACTCGTTAGATACCATTTCCTTTTATTTTTTATTTTTAAAAAAGGCTTTATATACGTACATGTTTGCATTTAGTTGCAATTTTCTTTATGGACAAAAGTGTTTGAAGTTTGAACAGCGAAAAATGGGCTTAACTTAACTACTATTGGGTGGTTAAACGGTCAACTGGGATTCTTTATTGTATTATTCAAATGGTTCTGAGTTTTATTCATCTTGGATAAATTTTTTTTGTCTAAAAGTGAAAAGAGGGTGGGACTCTTGTTTCAAAATATCTAACTTTATTTAACTAAAAACAATTTTCTTTCTCTCCTTCTTATTTTTCCCTCGTTCTAATTTGAAAATTAATTCACCCAAGACCATCATCGTTTGCCAACAACCACCATAACCGGAACAGCGCACGACCGGTAGGATCTGGTTGGCCATGCATCGATCTGGCCAGAAACAATTAGATCTACGGCCTGAGATATGGCCATTGACAACCAGATTCTAGTCGAGATCTGGTCGTTGACAATCAAATTCTAGCTGTGACCGAAGACGATCATATCGGCGCATGATTAGCTAGATCCAACCGATCATGCATTGATCTAGCGACCATCGGCTGCCGTTCGATGATGGTAGGCGACGACTAACTGTTCTCTTAGGTGATTGAGGTGCTTTAGTTAATTTAAAAAATTTTATTGTGAGGGTGTTTAGCTAAATTAACAAATATAGAGGGTTAAAAAAAAATCTAAATATTTAAAAAAAATGTATCAAACAACTATTCTAACTTAAAAACTTAAAAAAAAAAAATGAATTAAACAACTATTTAACATTTTATAAAACTCTAATACAATTTTAAGATATTTTACCAAATATATTTTTATATTCAAATCCAATTTGATTAGATTTAACTCAACTCACTTTTTCCCAATAATGTTTTTAAAAAAGTGTAACAAATCGAGCCCTAATATTTTCATAAGATCTACATGAATAAGTCGGACGCAGCGCTAATTAATATTTATCTCAATGACATTAATAATTTATTGCCGAGATTTTGGAAATAAATAATTAATAATTGGGAGAACGACTTACACATACCCAAGGTTTATTGAAACGACAAGTTGGTACCCAAAAGGTTTTGAAACGACAAATAGGTACCTTCCGTCATGTTCTGTTAGTGATTTCTGTTTATTAATAATGAAAAGACTAAAATACCCTTGACAGTTTATTATTTTAGTTTTTTATAAATTTAAAAATTTTAAAAAACCCCATAAGTTTGCTAATTTAACCAAACACCCTCATATATAAAAAGTTTGTTAAATGACAAAAATACCCCCACCACCCGCAGTGCCAGATTCCGGCCACCACCGCGGGAATCTGGCCGGAAAATTGCGTTATGACACAGACCCATCGGATCTGTGTCTTAATATGTCGATCTGGCATTTTCCGGCCAGATCTGGCCGTCGATGCCGCAAATGGAGTTTTGCGGCACGACGGCCAGATCTAGCCGTAGATCTGGCCTTTTCCGGCCAGATCAGCCACGGATCTGGCCGGAAAAGGCCAGATATGGCCGTCATGCCGCAAAACTCCATCTGCGGCGTCGACGGCCAGATCTGGCCGTAGATCTGGCCTTTTCCGGCCAGATCAGCCACGGATCTGGCCGGAAAATGCCAGATCGACACGTTAAGACACAGATCCGATGGGTCTGTGTCGTAACGTAATTTTCCGGCCAGATTCCCGCTGTGGTGGCCGGAATCTGGCACTGCGGGTGGTGGGGGTGTTTTTGTCATTTAAAAAACTTTTTATATATGAGGGTGTTTGGTTAAATTAGCAAACTTATGGGGTTTTTAAAAATTTTTAAATTTATAAAAAACTAAAATAATAAACTGTTAAGGGTATTTTAGTCTTTTTACTATTAATAAACGGAAATCACTAACCGAACATGATGGAATGTATCTATTTATCATTTTAAAATCTTTTAAGTACTAACTTATCGTTTCGATAAACCTTAAGTATGCGCAAGTGGTTCGACTTTAATAATTTACTTACTGAAGTCACATACTCACAGAAAGTCACAGTGACATAATAAGCTTTATCGACATACTCAAGGCAATGAAGAAAATAAAAGAAATCCCTCATCCAAAAACTTTCATCACATCACAAAACGCTCACCCCGTACGCCTTTGTCTGTCACAAACCGTGACGTAACAAAATTAAATTCTAATACGTGGTTCAATTATATTGCACCTTCTTCATCTTCTGGTGACAAAAAAACTCTAGTGAAGTAGTGCAATATGTTATTTGACTTCTCAGAAGTGCTTAACAGTGTTAATTATTTTTACAATTAAATATTAAACGATCATTACATTAGTAATTACATATTTATAATATTTTCAAAAATAAAAATTAGAAAGCTCAAAGCTGAGGCCTGAGAGTCTGAGACTGATGACNCAAGTCAAAATGCACTAGAAAGTACCTGAAATCTGACAAAAAGGTATAATGAAAAGTGTATAATTCACGGATTATCAATGCACACCCAGTCCTTAGCTTTTTCATCACCAACTTCTGAAAAACAATTGAAAAACTGTGGTGTCCACGGTGTTAGAAAAGTTCACTGACTAATGTGAAAATATTACAACCCTAATCTTGCCTGTTCAACTACTAGGAAACTAAAACGAAATTTAAACAATCCAAAACCAAAAGTAAATTAGTTCACTGTTCAAAATGAAAATACAAAAACAACTAAAATAAACAAAAGTAAAGTACAAAAATAGCTGTTCAAGTTTATTCTTCGGCATCCTCCTCTCCCTCAATATCTTCCTCTTCTGAGTCGAAGCCCATCCATTCATCTGAATCCCAGTCAGCCCATTGGAATTCTGAAGCATCAACGTTGACTTGGTGAAGCAACTGTTCTGCATGTCATACATCATCTGGGTCTACTCTGCCAGCCAATCCTGACGTTTTTCCATCCGTTTCATCTGACCTATCATCTGCTGCATCATTTCCCTCATAGTGGCTGTGGAACTGGATGATGTGGTAGTGCCTTGTGTGGTTCTTTGTCGTTTTGTCCTAGCGTTGGGTTGCTCACTGGCTGGACGTTCAAGATGCTTGTGATAATAGTCTGAGTTGAGAACTGGGGTAGCATGGATAAGTGGCTCATCATCAGCTGCCTCGACGCCTACTCGAGTGCACAACTCTGTAATGAGATGTGGGAAAGGGTAACTCCCTCGCACTGGTTTGGCTGCACGCTGAATGTTGTTCAGGATAATTTTTTCCACATCCATTCTCTTTCCTGTGGCAATAGAATAGAGCAATAATGCCTTCTCATAAGTCACCGTGCTATAGTGCATCTCCGGCATCATCCTCATAAAAATAAAGTACTGCCACAACCGAGCTACCGGTGTCAAATTAGTTCCCTTGATGCTCTTCCTACCCTTGTTTGAAATCTCCCAAGTGGTATCCGGTTTTGTAATGACCTGAAGAATAATATCATCCTCAAACTGTGTATTCTAAAATCCTCATAATTATTACGGTCAAACTTAGGCAGGTTATAAAAATCATTGATGACCTTCACATTAAATGCCACATCAGTACCCCTCACAAACACAGCACCAGATTCACACTCTGAGCTGTTGGCATAAAACTCTCGCACTATTGGCTCTACAGCCGCATGTGCAGGTGCACTCATAAATAATTCCCAACATCTCCCTCGACTCCAATCCGTAGCCTAGCTCGTGGTCAATCCATGCTCAGGAATAAAACCTTTATCTTTCCTTTGGATTGCCCCTTCATATCGTTTCCGAGCCCTGTCATTCACAAATCGGTTGTCCACCTTTTTTCCTTTTCCTTTCCCCTTGGACAACACTTTGAGTGGCATTTTTTTAAACTCCACTTCAACTCAGCAATTCAACTGAAAATTCAACCCTAAGCGCCCTATGAACAACCACAATCAATTATGCAGTAAAAATAACACTTCCAAAATTTGCACCTAGACCCCCAAACTTCGATTCTTCCAAACTCATCCAAACACTCAAAAATTCAAAACTCTAACCGCGTATGCCTTTGTCTGTCACAAACTGTGACGTAACAAAATTAAATTCTAGTACGTGGTTCAATTCTATTGCACCCTCTTCATCTTCTGGTGACAAAAAAACTCTAGTGAAGTAGTGCAATATGTTATTTGACTTCTCAGAAGTGCTTAACAGTATTAATTAGTTTTACAATTAAATATTAAACAATCATTAAATTAGTAATTACATATTTATAATATTTTCAAAAATAAAGAAAAAAATAAAAAAAAATAAAAATTAGAAAGCTCAAAGTTGAGGCTTGAGAGTTTGAGACTGATGACCAATCACTGAAAAAGTGAAAAGGATAAGAACATATTATGGTCGGGTTTTGTTCAATTCCTTAGATCTCTTAAACTATCATTTTCTATGCTCAAAACGCAAACACCTGTGTCTAAAACCCAAACCCTCGCCTTTCACTACTCAAAAGATCTACGAAGGTACACTCTTTAATCTCTTTCTGTAAAATTTACTACGTAAACTTTTGATCTTTGCCTTTTATTTGCTTTAAATATTCCGGATGACTTGCAAATTTACTTTCTTTGTATGTCTATTAGGTTTGTTGAGTTTTTGTATTAGGGTTTACAGGTATGTAGGTTTTTTTTGTTTTTTTTTTTTTTTT